CCCAACACTGCTAACTAGTGACAGAATCGATGACGCAGAGGAAAATGAGGACTCTACAAAACTCCAGGAAAAACAGCACTTTTATCACATTGACACATCCAGGCTTCAGTATCTTGACAGTTTTTGTGGGCTGTGGGTGACAAATGACAGTAACACTACTTGATATAACCTTTAATATGTGCTCATGCTAATAAATCACTTTAGTTGCTCATAAATTTGGATTCCACGTTGGTGAAAATGTGCAGAAGAGAATCAACACCTCTGTTCTTTTCCTGTACAGGTATATTGTACGACCGTCATTTAGAGCAGTGATAAAATGAAAGTGAATATAATTGTCTGCATCCTGCAAGTATGCTGGTGTGTACTGAGTGTGACTTCCTTCCTCTGTATCAATACAGGGTGCAAAAGAGGACCCAGCCCTCCAGAAAGAGCCTAAGTTCCTGAGTAAGGCTGGCTGGTTGAAGAAGGGCTATGGCAGACTGCTGGCAAGCTATAAAGACCGCTACATCCAGGTGGAGAAGACCGAGATTGTGGTGTATGAAAATGAGGTATATAAAGTTTCAATACATCGGGTGTGAGAATATGAACTTATATCAATATTGCCATTTATTTCTTGTAGTCTTGCAGCTGTTAACTTTTATTTAACATCAGATAATCAAGTAGATGGTCTAATTTCTCTCTTGCTTGTTGATAAGATAATAAGCTAAAATGATGTTGGCTTTATCCTTAAATTATACACACAAATTTTCAAATATCAGTTATTTGTGTTGCAGGACCTACAGAACTGCTTGGAGAGGCTTGACCTGGAAAACTATGACAAATGTCATGAATTAAAGAGCCCCTTCACGAAGAAGCAAAGACTTATACTCATACGATCGGCAAAGTCCACAAATAAGGTGAGAGAAGAGTCTGTCTCTCTATCTCTTTCTGTCCCTGTCACAAACATTTGTCCTGCCTGCACAAAGAACACGTTGTAGATCGTGGTGCAGGTAAGCAGCAGGCTCAGATTAGTGGTGCTGGTTGCAGCGATGCTGGTGAGCAATCCGGTTGTTCAGTGATGACACGACGAATCCTACTTCCTGGTCTAAAGTAGTCTGCGTCTAATATGGCTTTTGTGTTGTTAACATGTTTAATGTTTTGTATTTTCTTCTATTTGATCTCAAAAAGCTCCTAAAACAGTCAGTGATCAC